CAGGAGTGAGATGGTGGGGCTAGGCTAGACAGCAGATAAAATGACTCAGAGGAGGGAGAAACTGCTCTATGAGGAGACATTATATAAAAGCTGGGATTTTTCAGCTGCGGAGAAAAAAAGCAAACACAATTGTGGTTTACAAAACAGAGGAGGCAGTGGATTGCATCACCCTGACATTTTCCTGGTCACCTGGCTACCTATTGACCAGTAAACTGCTCTTCACCACCTCCTGCAATGCTCAAGCTAGGGATGATGTGATGGAATGAACAGGAGCTCAGTTAAAAACCAATTAAAGCAAATACTTTTTAATGTTATACTTCTCTACACCCAGACGTGTGGGACCTCTGAAGCTGGCTGTCCTGGGCAGCCACATGAGCAGCAATAGCCACATCTGCAAAGGAGAAGACAACTTCACGAGTAAAAGCTCCATGCAGATACTGAAAGGACTAGGGAAGGCTGTACCCMTGAATGCCTGCCTCATTCAACTGCAGGCTTGAGTCAGATGCTAGAAAATTGATTGGTTTCAACTTTGAAACCCCAAGGTTTGGCATTATTCTGCATTTTCTGCTTGAATCCCTGCATATCTTCTCAGGTGTCAGCAGCCCAGGTTTTGGTCTCCTTCTGGGTTACCCAGCCTAGATAAACATAGGTGCTGTTAAAACTGTTTCCCAGAACACCTTCCTCTCCCTGCAATCTCTTATCTCCCAGAGGACATCATCAGAGTGTATTTCAAAGCCCTCTGAAAATGGCCAGGGCTCTGTCTTGTAGCCCAGCAGATGCAGGCAGCCTCACCCCAAGAAGTCAACAGCCATCCCTGAGTTTGGAGCCACCTTATCACCYTATCACCATCAAAACGACGAGGAGCAGGAGGGACTTTACCCCTCGCTATCACAACCAAATCTTCAGTCTTTCCTCTGCAACATCTGCTGYCCATCTTTGCTCTGCTGCCCATCATCTCCCCAGATTCACCCAGGTGGGCTGTAGGAGATTACAGGAAAATGAGCAGAAAAATAAAAGAAGTGGTTTTGCTCAACCCTGAGAAACAGGGAAAGCCTGCTGAGCTTGTAATTAAAATGAGGAAAGACCATGACGGAGCTCAAAAGATGGAAGAATGGGATACAGGCAGCAGAAAAAATGCTGACCACCAGGCTTCAGGCAACATGCCATTTTGAATTAAAAATAAATGAGAAAATTGCCTATAGAGARGGGAATGCTGGGGAGGGGTGGCTGTGGAAAGTGAGAGTGAGAAAGTGGGGGTTATTGTCCAAGCACTGCCCTCCGATAAATTTTGTTCAGTGTTCCTCTACTGAAAGACTATGAGGTGTAGTGAGGCAGAGGAAAACAGTGCAGCAGTTTTATGGTGTGAACCTGTTGAACCATGGAAGACCAAGTGCCTGCCAGGAAAAAAGGCAGGCCACCATGTGTGCAGTTCTCACTGCATCAGCAACTTGAAAATGGAAACACCAAATATAAAAATCACATTTTTGCTTGGAACTTGTTTTCTGTTACAGTTAACAAGCACCTCAGGAACTTGGAACACTCAGGCGTCATTGGAACAGGCTGCCCAGGGAAAGGGTGGTGTCACTATCCCTGGAGGTATGTAAAAGATGTATAAATGTGGCATTTAGGGACATGGTTTAGAGGTGGATGTGGCAGTGCTGAGCTAATGGTTGGACTTGATCTTACAGTTCTTTTCCAATCTAAGTGATTCTCTGACCAGGGATCCAGGCCAGGTGGCCACAGAGAGCCCATGGCACACACATGGCCAGGGATGTGCCACTATGAGAGGAAAAGTAGCAGCTGTCTGGACAAGGACCATGCTTTATCCTATGGCATATTTATCCCATCCATATTAATCCAAGCCACTGCTGCTAAAATTACCCTCCAAGAGAAAAGGGCTTTAGAAAAATGTTTGGAGTTAATGGACTGAGTTGTGAACCAGAAGTCAGAAAYATCATATGGGAGATTTGTCCCAGGGGATCACAGGGAGCAGCAAAACTCTGAGCAGCAGGAGAGGATCAATATTCATCCTTCCCAGTGAAGCCAGGGTGAAAGTGCCAGAGATGTCATTGTAAGCGTATCTGCAGCGCCAGAAGCTCAACAGGAGTCCCTGCCTGAGTCTCTTTCAGGCTATATAAAATTTTACAGGTCTGCAACTCTGCTGATCTGGGTGAAAGGATTCCTCTTCTGCCTCCAAATAATACGATCAGGGTCCAACCTAAATGCACAGACCTAGAGAATAGCAGGTGCCTGGGGACACTCYCAGCACTGGAGTCTGAATCTGTGTCTAACACAGGTCTCTAAGCCAGATGGSAGCTCCTCAGATTGCTCCAGTCCCTTGGAGATCAGCAGGGCTGCTCCTCATTCCTCCTTCTCTAGACACATTTTCCTTGCTGAATAAAAAGCTGCTCCAAGGTGAGGTTTAATGCCTTTTTTCATACACCACACTGATCTATTCACCCTGTTAAAACTGTGGAGAAATAAATCTGTGATGCTGAAGAATACTCTGCCTCAGAAGAGGAAAATTCATTTGGTTACGCAACTGCTTGTTCCCCAAGTTATGCMCTAACTGGATAATGAACAATCCTCAGCCATTACATCTTCCTGCTGGCTGCCAGCAATGTAGGAAGCTAAGGCTTCAGAAAGTCCTGTTGGAWCTTGGGGTCCTGCTGTTGGCCTGAAATCCATACTGCTCTTTCAAAAACATTAAATAGACTGTGACAATCAGGCTGATTGRTGCCAAAGTCCACCTCATCCCACATCCTGTCTCCAGTCAGCACAGATGCTTAAGWAGAGAATGTTAGAACCAAGCAAATGAGTGATTTTTCCTCCCAGCTTCCAGCTRTCCATAGCTTTGAGACTTCCTAAAGAAAAGGCAGTATTTTAAWACCTAATAGCCCTCCTTGGGGTTGTTCGTTTCCTCATGCATTACTCTCATTGGGCTTTTAATCTGCTTATGATTAAAGCAGGTAAAAGTAGTCTATCACTCCCCATCGCCCAGGAGTCCCTTTGCCAGTTCTCCTGAGGTTTATAATGTCTCACTCTTCCCTGAGCAGTTGTTTTCCCTCTCTCCTCAAGTTGCTGCATGCCAGGGCACCACTACAGGCAGAAGTTGACAGAGATCTCTGTCAACAAGAGAGCACATCAATTACAAGAGCGCAGCAAGGTTGCTCAATTGTAGGGGCACTCATGCACTTCAGCAAGGTTCAATGTTCAAGCATAATACATACATTAAGCCAGCTGCACGTGATCCTACAAAAACCCCATCTGCAGCAGTGCCTCCCTCTCTGTGCTCAGCAACTGGCATCTAGAAAGAAAATCAAAAGCAAAGAATGCAGTGAAGTGTCCTTTCAGACACCTTGTAAGGACAAACTGTCACATTTGTCAATGTTTCAGCTCTAGTCAATTTTCAATAGAAGTATGTCCAATCCWCAAAATACAGGGGGAAAAATGATAAAGGTGAATTTTTTCTCYATGAATCAAAGAAAAAGAAAAAGTTGAATTTTTCCTAAACCACTTAATTTGATATGAAAGAAAACAAAGTCCTCTCCTGGGAACTTCCATCTATCATAAAGCATCAGCGATTTTAGCATTCCTGAGAAACCTTAGGTACAGCAGGCTTACTTCAGTACACCCTTATCAGCCCCAGCTGCCAGCCCATCTAGTATCTGAAGCAGGGTAGCTGAGGGAGCCTTTTGATCACAGCAGCACACACATGCACAGAGCTACTGTGGCATGAAGGATGACCTGAACTGCCTTAGCCCTGCCCAGATGCCGGGATGTGTAAGACAGCAGCCCAACTCAGCAAAGAAGCGACACCCCACAGGTAGCAGAGGGACTTTTATGCCAGGACTTGGTAACAGCAGGTTCTGGACTCTGTGCTAGTAGAGCCCCCTTTCCTGCAAGGTCAGCATGCAAAGGTGGGGTGACTTGGTCTCCAGCCAGCACACCCCAACTCCACACCCCACAGCACAGAAACCCCATGGAAGTGATTCTTTGAAGGCACCAGCAAGGGCAGTGGTGACTCCACACCAGGCACTCACCAGAAAGGAGCCTGCTGGCAAGCTGGGCTCTTGGGCAGAGTTGCTGTGCTGCAGGCACAACCAGGAGAACCAGCCTCCAGCACKCCCCAGCACAGCAGTTCACAAAGCAGAGAAGCCAAGGCTTTGTTCCAGTGAGGAACCATCCACGAGAAAGAGGAAGAATTCATTGATCTCCTTCCTCTATTTTGTGCAGATCGTGTGCATTCCCATGGTTGAAAATGCCTTGRCCTCATAGCCCAAGAGACAGGCTTCATGCGAAGGCAATTTGGTATGCCATTCCCAGCATGTCTGCTCCTCTCAGCTCCCAGAAAAACAAACAACAAACCTTGGTCCMGAGCAAAACTCCTTCTCTGGAGCAGCACACCAGATCTGCGGGAGGCCTAGATGCTGCTCCCCACTTGGCTAACACAGTGGCACTGAAGGGTGGAAGGCTTCTGTGCCATGGCCATCCAGCTCCTGAGCACCAATAACCTCAAACCTCACATGCCTTGGCCCTGGCAGGATGGACAGGACCCAGAAAGGAGTGAAAAGATCCATAGTGCCAAGAGGGAATGGGCTTTGCTCTTCCAAAAAYGCCTCTGGCTCCTTCAGGACACCTGTGGCACAACGTGCAGCAGCAAAACACCACATTGCCAGCCTCGGTGCTCCCTGAGCTGCCCCAGTTGCACTGTGCTCCCTGCYGTTCACCCCACTTTTTGGGCCAAGCACAACGAGCCTGTCCATGCCTCACAGAGCCATAGCAAGATGCTGCTGTGGAGTGCTGGCAGGGAGACAGAAAGCTGGCCATCACACCCTTCCCACCCAGCCCAGACGCCTGGGGATGGGGCAGTGCAGGGAAAAGGCTGCATTTTCTGGGCAGAGGCCTTCTGCTGAGGCACTGTGAAAGCTGGGTATTGGCATAGTGCATGGCCAGACCGCCCTCCAGCCTCCTCAACAGGCAGCAGAGGCAGACACATACATAGGTCAAGGTCAGAATTTATTTCCAAATACCTCATTTATACCATTCTCACATGAAATATTTCTTTTGGAATATAGCCTACACTTAGAAAACAGAAGAGAGTTTTTTTTATAAGGCACATCAGATTATAGACTACATAGAGACATCTCCCCCTCATTTGAGCTCATAAAATACTGGTAATTTTAAAAGTAATATTTCTAAAACCTAGACCCTGTGTAGCCCCGTGTAGAGCAGTATCCATAAAGTTATTAGACCTCAGTTTACACACAACTAGTAAAAGGCTATAACAAGTTGTATATAAATCACATCTTCAGAAACAGTCACAGCTGGCTACATTAAAAGTAATGCTAYTCCAGACTATGAAACAGGCTGCTTATAAAGTATAACCTACTGCTTCCAGTACAGCATGATAACAAGCAGTATGATCTTGTAGAGGAAATTTTGTTATTTTTGTAAATGGAAGCTGCTCAGACTCAAGCCAGTCTCCTCCTTAAACCCACAGTTTTGATCAACCGAGACGGTTTCTTACAGAGAAGGAAAGCACCCAAGAGAAACCTAGCTTTCTGTTTTTCTCCGAGACGTCAGTATGACTGCATATCTGAAATCCTGTCAAAGCATTTGAGTAAGAAATATAACGGCTCAGATGTTAACTTCATGACCAGTAAACATTAAACCATTAYCAACCAGATGCAACCAAGTTAAATGCATCCAGCTTCTGTGCTATGAAAACTGTTTTTCCAGGCTCTTACAGTTCAGAAGCCAACATATTTTTATTGAATTAGGCCCTAGGTAAAGATTTCCATCCCGTTTTCAAGTTTTCAGTGGTGGAACATTACCCATTCTGCACTCATTCTTCTGCAAAGAAGGAAAAAATGCTGTCCCTGGAGCCTGTGCCAACAGCCCAGAATCCATTTACATAGTATCATTTTCTTCAGTGGGCCAGGAGGTAAACTGTGGTCAGCTTTATCAATTCAAATGGCCTCCACTGTTCCTTATATCAGGCATTGATTCATTTCTGATGAAAAAAGGTTCTGGCCTTCTGTCATTGCAGTTTAGTTAAAGAATAAGGAAAAGGTCACTTCAAGGCTATAGCCAAAGGAAAAAAAACTTGATCTTGAACTATCTAGGGACTGGGGGGAAAGTAGTTGTGGCCATAAAAAGGCAGACAGACAGCACAAACTAAACGTCCTCTGCAGAACAGGTTTAAACACTGATTTTTGCAGAGAGTTGTGTTACCATTCATGTTTCTTGAACTCGCTAGAACTGCAATTAGGCTTAGTTCAGTAGGAACCAGATTCAGTCAGAAAACAGCTCACACTCAACCCTACATTGATCCCTCAGCTACATTTCAGGCACATTTCAGTTAATTTGTTGGACTGATCTGGGAAAAATGAAGAAGAATTATCTGTTACGCTTCCAGGGTGGCCTCAGAAAATGCACAGCTATGAACTTGGACAAGATTCAACCACAAGTGACTGTTACCTTTAGAAGGGAAACATTAACTTGGTTGGAAAGAGCATCCTGAAGAGCATGTAGCAGCCTCAAKTTCTAGGGTCCAGTTTGTTACAAATCTCAATCTGCCTGATTTGTTATTTGTTTAGCAGCCTTAAAAGGTAAAGTGGGGCATCCTGAAATTCTTGGCTGTAGACTTAAATCCAGATGCGGTTTATACGGTGCTGCACAGATATTTGTTACATCACTTAGGAAAAAAAAACAAACTGAACACAACAGTATTTACATTCTTTTGAGCTGAAATAGATGAACTGTCAGCATGTCTGAAAAAACACAGARGAAATTGCCATGCTCGAGGTAGCGAGTTAAAGCTTGGTCATGTTCTTGGGCTTCTACTCGGCTTCCTGGGAAAGGCAGGGAAGGAAACAGAAAGGACTTTGAGAAAGTAAGGAGGTGACAAATGAGATGTCAGCTCCATAAGGGATTAGGTTCCCTCACCACAAGCTGAAGGTATATTCATGACCTTTTTAACCATGGCATTTGCGTATAGATTACACCTCTTGCATACCCTTTTTTAAAGTGATCCCTAAGAGCATTGGCTTAGGAAGACACAAAGAGAGTAGGAGCAGGGTTTTAAAGCTACAAAAGTCAATTAGGAGGCACAGTGTTATTTTTCCCTTTGATCGTCCATGTACAGAGCTCTACATTTCCACCGTTGYTTGTGCGTTCCTCCTGCAAAGCCCCGGCAGTGAAGGCCTCTGTTGTGCTCCTCCCCACCACACACACCTACAACTCAAGAGTTGAATCCTTTGGACATATCCTTCTACGCTCACAGACACATAGTGCTTTTTTCTTTTCCTTAATATGAAGTTCTGGTCACAAAACTGGATGCCAGACCTGATTTATAGCAATTACTTAACTAAGAATCCTTCTGCAATCCTCAAAAGGGCAACCAAGTTATCCAGTAGCAACATATACACATACATACAGATCTACACTATACACTCAGGACGACACAAATTGAGATTTCAGCTAATATAGCCTCTATTGATTTCCTCAGAAAAGCACTCAGGTCCTYGCAACTCCTATACAAAACAGCAGTATTTTTTCCACCAGGATTTGGAGAGGTTTTTCATCTTGTCTGGAGTCCTACACTTGGATTTCTTTGGTTGCTGCTGGGTATCCGAGTACTGAATACCAGCCACGATGGCTGCATCAAAGACCTCCTTGAGGTTTTTCTGAGTCAAAGCGGAGCACTCGATGTAGGACGCAGCTTTTATTTCCTCAGCACAGAGCTTTGCAGCCTCCTCTGACACTGGCTTTTCTTTGCACTTGTCCAGCTCGATGAGGACTTTGACATCCTCCCGGAGGTCCGACTGCGTCCCAACCAGGATAATGGGTGCCTTGGGGCAGTGGCAGCGAATTTCAGGAACCCACTTCTCACTCACGTTCTGGAAGGATGAAGGGCTCACCACGCTGAAGCACAGCAGGAAGATGTCTGTGTTGGTGTAGCACAGAGGCCTGAGCTTGTCGAATTCATCCTGTACAGAATAAAACCATGTTAGCACTCCACAAGAAGAGCAGATCTAGCCTGCCCCGACCTTTGGGGAAGCTGCCACTGTCATTTTCACAGGTGTCCCAAAATGAGCACCCAGCCCACCCAGCGAGGCGTGCTACAAACAGAAGCCACCTGCACCCAGCCTGAGGTGCCGTGGCTGCCGGTCAGCAAGTATCATGCCACCGTTGGGCACACAGGACAAAAGTGGTGGCTTCCCCACGTACCTGAGATTTTCTGACTAATTCCACAGGTTATTTCAAGTGCTTAAATATTTCCTTTGCTCTTTGTACAGGCCCTCTGCCCTACGTCAGCAAAGAAGCAAAGCTGTAGGAAGCAGGTTAGGGCACAAAAAGCCACAAATGGTAGAGGGAGAAAGCAATTTCTATAGGCCCACCTCTTCTAGGGGTGAGTCAGAGAGCAGCTCTGACACCTCGAAGTTGTTCTGCCGACAGACACTGGCAAGGGCAAAGAAGACGTGTGGCAGCAGTTGTACCTTTCTGGGTACCTTTCCTGCAGTCGGCTTTCAAACTGGTAACTACTTATCCTACAGGATATGGGGAAAAGTTCCCTGCCATTGTGCCCAGGGATTTAAATGTGATGGGAGCAATAATGGCTTACAATGTGCAGGCTTAACATGCCAATAGCATAGAGTAAGAGCTTTACCTTTGCCTCCCACCCATGCCACATCAAACAAACSGCACACAGGCCTCCCAGCACTACCCTTCTGGGCTATTTTTTTTCTTTTAGAGCAAACTCCAGCAAAGCAAGGCCCTTTCTCAACTTCAGGACCTAGCCWCAAAAACGTCCAACACCTCATGGTAACAAAGGTGTGCTGATTCTCAGGRAAGAATGTAGCTAGAAGCAAGAGTTACTCTAGGCAGGCTGGTTTTATGCTGGCAGCAGGATAAAAGCACGGTAACACTAGCAGCCTGAACAGGTAGGATTTACCTCAGCAGTAGTGAYATTTTAATTAAAATGGACCTTGTTCTCAAAAGCTTGGAACTGAAAGTGCATAGAAATACAAAGCTGAAAACATCTCTCTGGTACCAGTTTACTGATGAATTGCAAGTCGCATGTTAATTTTCAAGATGTGAAATATTGCTTCAGAGCCTCTGGAGGCCCAGGATATGCAGTTTAAAGCCCCCTGGAAGACTCAGCAGTCTTGTTCTGCTCAAATGAGTATCTTGTAGCAGTGTCTCTGAAAGAGACAATGATTTATAAAACACAAGACAAGAAAAATAGCTTCATTAGCTCTCTTGATTTCAGATTAAGCCTCAGAGAAAACCAGGCTCTCACCACTTGCCTTGAAAAAGCCCCACATTTACTGAGATGCTGCTCTGAACAACAAGGCTGTTTGCAGAAGGGCACCTTGCCATGCAATTGCCTCTCCTTGCTACATGAGAAAACTCAAATGGGCTCAATTCAATGGGTTTGGGAAGCAAACCCCAGATCTGAAGGGTTGCTACCAAGATGAAATAGTGCCCTTTATATCCCAAATACACTYCTGCCCTTTGAATGGTAGGTCCATRATCTGCAGGGCTAGTAATGCTGAAATAGAATTTCCTGCTGCCTGGAGTACTTTTCCTGCTGCCTGGAGTACTTTTCTTTAGCTGCAGATTTCAGCAGCCATTTCCCAGCAGCAGTTTTACCAAAGTATCCAGCCAGGAATCTTTTACTCAGGACAATTTCTGTGAGTTTAGATAACTCTTTCATTTTAAAGGCAGTAACTTTACCCATTCCAGCTGTACTTGGGCAGCTAGAGCAAACATCTTAACCATTAATGGCAGGGAAGGCAAGAGGTGACAGGGCCAGCCCATCCCTCCTGCAGCTTTGCAGCTGCATTTCCACAGGCACTGCTTGTCCATAGGCGGTCACGCAATGGCAATTTCACCTGCCACACTCYGCATATGAAAATGCACAGCCAAGACTGTTGCAGTACCACCCCATCTCTTCAGGAGGACACAAAATCATGGAACAGTTCTGCTGTTTGATTTCGTATCTTTACCTCAAGAAGGCTGTTTGCAGGATCTTAGTTTTAGCTTGTAGGGCACATGGGAGTCCTACACTGCTGTCTAGTACAGCATAGCCCTTAAAAYCCCTTTCCTAAGTAGGGCGCCCAGTTACTACTCATCTAAATAGGTTTGTGTGTTAAGACCACTGAGATTTTTCAGCGTGATTTTGGTGAAGGCATAGACCTAGATCCACAAAGCTGCACAGGATCGTAATTCCCACTGCCTTTAAATAWCAGCAAGGTAGCAAAATATTTTTGGCTACTTTTGCTTACCCAACCTTGACCCCTGGCAAGCCCAGTGTGGCACACTGCTCAGGGTGGTACAAGCCTGGCTCTTCCAAAAAATCAAAGATGGTAAGAAATGGACTCTTTTTATGTATCACACAAAGTGAAGATGAGAGTCATCAGCCCCCTCATCTCTTCAGGTCTTAGATTACAGCAAATCTCAGCCTTGAAACACTTTCTAAGGGAGCAGGAATGGCAAATATGAAGGCTCCATGGACAACATTCAATAGGACACTTTTCTYCCTCCAGCTTCTTTTCCTTCAATAACACAGTCTCTATCTTTGGACACCTACAGCTRTGGATGCTTTGCATGCGTACATCCCAAACACCCTAATTCATAAACCCRCAGTAATTTAGCAAAAATAAAGACAGTGACAGGCACTCAAAGAGAAAACCAGGTGGCCGCTGAATCCCCAATATGTTCAGCCTTTCTAGTCAGGCTAAACAGAGCAGCAGCTTGAGCCAGCAAAGCAACAGCCTGTGCCCAGCCCCTGCATGGAGGCACAGTAAGTCCCCCACCCTTCAACTGACAGGCAAAGAAGTGAGTTCACCAGCAGTGAAAATGACAGTGGATAATAACGTGATCAAACACTGGGAATACTTTCAAATCCATGAAGTYATTTGCAGGACTACTTTGCCCAACAGCAACAACTTCTCCCCTCCCGCTGTCACTTAAATCAAGTAAGTGGCTCCACTGACCTGACCAGCTGTGTCACAGAGCTGAAGTCTCACCGGCTTGCCGTCGACAGACACAACAGCTTTAGAGAGAAAGAAGGGAGGGGGTAAATTGTGGTGAGTTCAACTTTACATGTTATTCGTTAAAGAAAAAAAAAAATTAAAAAGGAAGATTTACCACCCCTYAGCTCTTATAGCCTTTTCTTCAATTACTTTAGATTTAACAACTTAGCAGAGCCGGAATTGAGTCAGTCCCTAACACTTGGGTGCACACAAGCACTTTAGGGCTTTTCGATTCATATTACTACAAGAGATGAGCTAGGCAGTGACGGCACAAGTCCTCCGCAGGTAGCGCGGAGAGCAAGCCCAGCAGTCCGGGACACTCTTCTGCTACCCCTTCGTACACCTTCATCACGCCCGGAACACGAAAAGCCCCGGCAGAGAAACCCCTGAACTTCCCCCTTTGCAAGAGCGAGACAAGGCGAGTATTTAACCTGCCATTTAGGCGCTTCCGAAGTCCGCGAGAGCGCTGAGCTTTACACCGGAGAGTTCCCAATTAAAGCCGGGCTCTGGCCGCGCGGCCGGGCATGACACCCGCTGCCAGCCTGRCTCCGTTACACCGGAGACCGGCCGGTGCTGCTGCCTGCGATGGCAGCCTGACAAGCTCGGTCCTGCTTCCTAGAGTCCTGCTCCCCATAAATAAATAATGAAATCACCGAAACTGGACATCGCCTCCCCCGAGCAGCCCAGCCACAGCCGCGGGAGCGGCACGGGCGAGACGCGCCGCTCCCCGCGGCGGCAGAACCCCCTCCCGCCGCCCCGGTGCCCGCGGCCGCCCTGRTCACTTACCGGAGAAGTTGTCGAAGGCGGTGGGGATGTACTCGGTGGGGTACCCGTTGGTGGTGTAGCTCACCACCAGGCTMGTCTTCCCCACCGCGCCGTCGCCCACCAGAACACACTTGATGCTCCGCCGTGGCTCGGATCCCGCTCCGGCCCCGGCTCCGGCCACAGCCGCGGCCCCGGACGCCGCCGCCCGGCAGCGGCCGCCCAGCGCCGCTCCCAGCGCC